GATAAGGAAGAGAGAAAATGAAAGGAGAGACAAAAAGAGAGCTCGAAAGAAAATGGCAAGGTGGTTAAATTTGAGAAAATCGAGTAGAGCCACATGAGAGAATAGAATGAGAGTCTTTTGAGTGGAGAGAAGATTCTAAGGTAAGCTTCCTTGCAGAAAAGAATAAGCTAGAGAGTGAGTTGGTGAAGATTAACAAATCCTTCTCCAGTTTAAATTTATCCCTGTTGCATGAGGACTTTCTTCAAGGAATAGCGCCATTTGAATATCCCATTGTTGCATTACTGTTGGAGGACTTTATGAGGCTTGAAGGAGAAACATGCTACCCTGGCTTTGTGAAGTATTAAAATCCAAAACAAGAGACAGATAATATTCTGGCAGAAGAAAGGCAGGAAATGAAGTTGAATTTGTTCCAAAATGGCAAATGGAAAAAGCATAAAGCATTCAAACCAAGAGATTGGACTTGGAAGAATCAACAAAAGGGCATGACTATTTGCCAAGGAGATCAAAGCTTCACCCGAGAGAAGACGGTCCATTCCATGACAATGCAAAGCTTAAGTTTCGTGGAAATAATTTTGATCTTGAAGTTTCATATTCGAGGATAAATCCTTTCAAAGAGGGAGGGGATGATATGATATGGGATAGGTCACGGAGTCGACGAGAGGCTAAGGACAGGGTTTGAGCTTTATTGGAGCCTACAAAACTAAGATTCAAGCTTAATTCGAGCTAACAAGCCATGCAAACTATCTGTTCGACCTATGAAGTCCAAAATGTTGAAATTAAAAAGCCAAAAAACAACTTACGTGTTGATCATGAAGGTGAAATCATGTTTGATGTGTTGGATTCAAAGTTTTGAAAGATACATGGAAAAACGAGTAGCGTAGATTAAAATAGGCATAACTTTCAGCTCGAATGTCAGATTTTCACCCATGAGGACAATCTGAAATCTTCACAAAATTCTATACAAGAAGAAAGAGGCTTCAAAAAGAGCTTAATAGCGACTGCATGGTGACATGCAGGGAATAAAAGGAGGATGCCAAGGTGAACCATACGACTGCATGGAACAAATTCGGGGGAAATTTTTCCTTTTTTTGTGCGAGAGTTTAATTTTGTCTAGAATTCTTTATTTTGGTAACTTTCTATGCTTTAGGAGTCTTGATTCCATTTTTTCTCTAAGTTCCTGCAAAAGTATAATCTTTGTGTGTACACTCATAAAAAATTACTTCTAAGAAAATTTTAAAACAAAAAATATACTATTTGTCACTTCAAATGAATAAATTACTTATTTGAAAAGTTATCTCTATCCTTTTTGTCAAAATAAGTAACTCTTTTACATATAATAAATCTAGTTACCATAAAATCCTTATAAGATTATTATATTCTACAAAATTTCTCTAGGTAATTGGGCTTTCTATACCCTGATTTGATTTCTACTATATCCTTAATTGCCTTGTCAATTATACAAGTATATCTTTATATTAAATAATTAGAATAATGAACTCGATAAAACTGAGCAGTGAACAAGGTCAAATAGAGATATATACAACACCTGTTCATTATCCTATCCATGTCATTCAATCTTATGCACATAACATGTCCTTTATTTTACCATTTATTAGATACCTCGTAAACCATTTGTTTAAGAGCAATGCCAAGTATATGTTTTCTTCGTTGATGTCCACCCCTTTAGGAACCTGATAAATATTAAAAACTTGAATATACCAAAAAGAGATGAAAAAATTGTTTAGAAAATACAAAAGTGTTGAAGCCATAATTTAAACAAATAATTTCACTGTGTGCCATTTTATTTATTATTTTTTTATTTATTATTATTATTATTTTTTTGTCTTCGGTACATGAGCATTGGCTGAAAATCTTTCAACCATTTGCACCATTATAGTTGTTTGGATGTCTCATATCCTTCCAAATATAATTATTCATCATACAAGTCTTTAAGATGAAAAATCATGTGTTAGCATCTATATTCTCACATTGCTTTTGTTACTCAAGTGACATAGTTACAAGTGTCACACAAGTTACAGCATTATTGTTATCATTGTGTTTATTATAACAGACTTCTCTTCCTTAGTCGAGTCATTAGCATGTATCTCTGAAAAAAGCTACTCAATGACATAATCAATTTTCTCATATCTGAGAATAATTCTCAGACTGTAGTACTAATCAAGAAAAATTAGTCAGGTTGTTGGCATCTAGCACGCCTCTTAAATTCATATGGTTATTCATAATTCAATAGATGTAAATGATGAAATATAAAGAATCAATATGTATCAAAATGCATTTCATAACTTAATATGGACTTTAATTAAATTAAATATGCTCATGCTATTTAAAATAAATTTATCACCCTCTCACATGAATTTATAAAATCCATACTTAATTTCCAATGGGCTAGGATCCCATATGTAATATTAAGACTTTGACTGTACTCAACAAATCTTAATAAAATATTTGGTTAGATACTATTATCAATTATATCTCCATACAGCTCCTAAATTATAAAGTTGACAACTATTTATCTTTACGCATCTTATGTGTTAGTTTAATATGCATACATCTAAGATTTATGTCCTTTAATGTGCTTGACAAAAGATAAATTTTAGTTAAGTTAAACCCATCATTCCGAAATATCTAATATTTCATATCAAACATATTCCTATTAGATTACCTTTGAGTGTACTTAACAAGCTAAGACGATATAGGACTATCATTTTTCACTATAATACTGGAAGGTGAAAAATAAATTGAATTAATATTTTATCGAGAGATTTTCATGCAAATGTCTCATTATAATAATTATATATAATTTATTATACATCTATCTTTAAAATAAACATACCTATACTAGTGTGTACTATTATGAACTAATCCTGTCTAGATTTTTTGGGCCAAAAGGAAGGCTAGTTGGTCAATTTTTAGGGGTATTGTATTGACTCACGCAATGCACCATCTCCATGGTCTCCTCCCCTTATTGTATCTTCAACTGCAACTTGTATCCTATGCTAGTTAGCACGTATGCCTAAATAATTAATTAATTACTTTAATTAGCAGGTTTATTTGATTAAAATCAATTTCTAATTAAATGTCAAACTAGAGTGCAACTCTAATTCCAAAATTGTAGGGCAAGTAATTTAATTAAAATAAATTTCCAATTAAATAAAAAATTATAGTCCAACTTTAATTCTAAAATTATAGAAAGGGAAAATTCTAATTAAATACTACATGGGAGTCCAGCTCTAATTCCATTTGAATTAACATTTTAATTTATGACAAAACTCTTAAATGAAAAAAATCAATTTAGGGTTAAAGTTTAATGTCTAAGTTAAATCCAATTTCAACGATAATATAAGTAGTCGTCAATTTTAAATAAAATTTTAATTTGGGTCGAAATCAAAATTCTGGTCAAATTTGAATTTAAGGACGAAAATCATTGAAACTAAAATTTCAAAACTTTTTCAAAATTTATGTTCAAAAACCTTTCTAAAAATTGCATTTTGATCCCTACTTTAAAATTATAAACAAGGCCCTCCAATCTCTTAAATTGCAGAGTGAGGCTGTTCTTTGAAGTACAATACAAAATTAGAAACTTGAAAATAAAAGAATAATAGCCTTCAGATAATTAAACAATAAAATAATTATTTAGAACCACAAAATAAAATATATATAGAACAAAGTCAATCAAAAGTACTAGAATATCCATTAAAGTACAAATATATAAATGATTAAATTAAGATTCATAGCTTTAATAGATACACGTGATGTACATTTAGCATAATTAAAAAATATTTTGTTGACTGTAGATATATACATTAGTCAAGGATTTCGTTATCAATTTAATTGAATGAACTGTAAATTATAACCTCTTACTATTTAGGAGTGATGAATCATCTGTTAATAATTTACAACCTTCATATGATTCTTGGAAACCAACATTCAAAATCACCAAAGTATGACTATTCCCATAAAAGGCACTATAATGACCTTAATTAAGTTGAAAGACCAATTCCACCACCGAAGGTTAGATATTAAATAATGATACTTAGATAGTTATTTATGTGGAATCTCTCTCCAACGGGTGTCCAATATTTTGTTTTTTAATAAAACATTCACACGTTCATTTAAATGTCACTATTTTTTAGCTTGCGAGATTAGCTATTCACTCAAAAAATGAGGAATGCCATATGTGATGGTTTAACAGTAATAAAGATATTTGTTTCTCATTATTACGTACTATCATAGATAATTCAAGATTTAATCATATGTAATTTGCCTCTCTCAATCACAATTCTTTGTGATTAACAAGTTATCAAGACTTAAATCTTCGAATTCTATTAATTTTGATATATTAGAAAATTAATTCAATTAAATAATAGAATTTTCCTAAATATAAAATACATTTAATATATTAAAAGTGTTTACGTTCAAAACGATTGGACCTAGAACATAATACTTACAAAAGTATTCTGTAATAATAGCAACTTACAACATACATTTGAAGGGTAATTATAACAAAGCTTATATTAATGAACCCCGTGAGCCACAAATATAGTAAATCACACCTTACATTAGAAGACAATAATATTTTTGCTAATACTGAAACATCATAGGACCTATCACACGTTACTTTAGAGCCCAGTAACAAACTTGAAAGTAGATGCATTATAGCCACACAGTTTGATCTCTTAGTAATCACATAATCAAACTTTCTATCCATCCATTCTTTCTTTCTTTGTCATAGAAATGGTGACGTTAACAAATTTCGTCTCCTCTTTGGACATGCAATCACTAAGAATTCCCCCATACTTGTGAAATAGTTTATCAATTATGGATTCACCAAAGTGATCAATCAACAAAGGCTCCGCCACTGATCTCATGCATTTCGCTACATTGTATCCATCGTCATTGACAGAATGAGGCAAATTGAATTTACTGCCACATGCAGCCCAGTTGATTTCAGAAGCCTCTAGACGATTGATGGCTCTGTAAAACTTTCCATCACTCGTTAAACTTGTGCATATGTCATGCTTTTGACAATAACTAAATCTAATATGCAATTTGGTTTTATATGATGTTCAAATATGTGGATGAGAGGACACATAGTGCATTCAATTTTGTCACTATTTATTTATAAAAAATTGAGCATGTTTAAGACTTTAGTGAAATAATAAATTTTACATGAGCATGTTAAAAACATAATAACTATGTAATTCTCAATAAAGGGTCAAGAAGTTTAATTACTTGAGATAGCCACATAAGACTGTAGGAAGAATGAACAAAATGTAGACTTTCAGTAGGAAAAAGCCTGCTATAGAATGAACCAGGCACCCCAGTGAAAAAGCATTGTCCGAATTCAGAACCCAGTTCCTCTTTTAATTCTTCACGAAACCGTGGTAAGGACCGAAAAATGGAGTTAAAATCATTTCCAGGAAGATCGTTCAAGTATATTTGAAATTCTGGCGATGATTGACGACCAAATTTTCTTCTTATTTTGTCCACTGCTTTCATAACCTCAGTTACCACAATGAAAGTATTTGGCCCAGAAGAACAGCCAAGATCTGCTATGCATATAGTCTTGAGGAACATGTTTCCATATACTCCAGTAACTGCTTCTTCTGTTATTGCCTTAGTCATGGATATTACTTTTTGCTGCCATAGTTAGTCTCGAGTTAATTTTGAATAATTTTTTTTTAAATTAAACAAATAATACATGCACAAAATGAGGATGCTCTCACAACTATTTTTGTGGAGAAGAATGAGAATCCAATTTTTTCATTCTCATTGTCGAGTAGAGGAGGGAAAGTAAGCCTACAACTAAGCAGCCAATAGTTAGGATGGACAGTAGCCGTAAGACTTCCACCAACAATGGCAAGAGAAATAGTTTTTTCCTAGAAAAAAGAAAATGTAATCTTGAAAGTAAGGCATATTTTTACATTAAATTTATCCATATCCGCATTTATCAATCAAATTTAGAGGAACTTTTGATGAAGGACAACGTTATACATAACATGTCCCAAGTTGTTATTGTTAAGCAAATATACAGAAACTTTTGACGAAGGACAACGTTATACATAACATGTCCCAAGTTGTTATTGTCAAGCAAATAAGAGAAGAAACTTAGCCTCAATTTTAAAAATTTATTTTAATTCGAAGTTATTTTAATTAAATATCTTATAAGATCCACAACTATCATCGTCTTTTTAATCATTTATTTCATCATTTTTTTTTTTATCAAAACCGACTCAAAAATTAATTTTTGGTCAAATTAAACAGGTTCTTAATATTCATAAAATTAAGTATATAATATCTCTCAGATTATCAAAACAGTTATATGCAACAGTGAAGAAACTTTAGTTTACCTGAATTATTGAGTTGCTCGCGTAACTGTTATCTCCAAATCCTCCATTCATGTGGAGCACATTACTTACGTCCATACTTTCTCTCTATATATAACTAAAACTCACTAATTTTGTTGTGAATTGATTTGCTCAACTATAGGAGGCTATTTATAGACCATCGAAACCCACTCCACCGTCCATGTAACACATATATACATCATAATATATAAACACAAGTTTGTGGACAATATATAAAACACGTTTACATTTATTAAAGTGCGGAAAACGTTGAAGTAGCATTTACATACGACATCCGTATTGCATTGATATATTCCACATACATAAAAAGTTTGAATAATTGCATTGTCCCATGGGTACATACAGAGTTTTTAACGAGTGATGGTTAAAATTTAAGCTAAGACTATTACAGTCCTCGTACCATGTCGAAAAAATTAAACAATTTAGAGAACCATTAAACATTATTTCAACAAACTTGTTCCTTAAAGCATGATCAGCTAAGCTTAAGTTAACCAGTTAAAAAATTCAGCTTTCCCAAGCATGTATCCATCATATAATGAACTTTCATATAGCCTTCATGCATAGAGCGGAGTTAGGTGAACTAATATATAAAAGGAAATTGTAAAAACATTAATTATTTTAACCTTAGAAACAATTTTAGCTCTCACTTTCCACTATTAGGTAGTTTGGTCTGTCTCATTATACATGTGTTACAGCCATTTGATTCACGTGTCCTTTGAATGACATCGTAATTCAAGATTCCTCTTCTACGAGACATTTAGCTCTTGCTTGGTCAAACTTAAAAGTTATATTAACAATTAGGTTAAAATCAACAATTCATTTTAATTACATATTTTATGAGATCTAATAATTGTTAGTCACACATTTCATCTACTTTTATTAATATTTACTAAAGATCTATTTTTTATTTAAATCAAACAAGAACTTAATTAACTTCTTCATATATTTTTTATTCTATCAAAAAGAATTACAATAAAACTACTCAAAAAGGCCAATTGACAAGTATTGCATGTGTGGCTCTTTTTTAAAAGAATAATTATCCCCGTCCCGGGTTGGGGACAGGGAGAAAGACAGGGGCACCATGCCCGGGACAAGGAGTAGGGTTCTTTTTTAAAACTGTCCGATAAATATTTTGACACGTATCTATCTAGTGTTTTCAAATTTTGTCAAATATGTGGCAAAGTTGAAGTAATTAAGCACCTACGTTCTCAGTACGGAATTGAAGATTTTTTAAGAATGACATAAGCATTAATGAGTAATCCATGACATCAGCATAAATATAAAATCCAATTTTTTTTTTTTTAACACCTATCTTCTAGAATGTGTTATTTATTTAAAACTATTTTTTTATTTTTATTAATTAAAAATACTAACTATTCTAGGTACGTAGACGTTAAATTCAAAATCTAACTTCTTATGCCATGCTACATTTAAAGACTGGACATTTTGAATTTTTGAGGGATTTGACACAGTAACACTAATGAATTTTCTTACAGCTTTTTCACGTCATATCTAAGATTTTTTTAGTAACGTCTATCCTATTGGTTTAGGTATTGGATTCAACTAGTGCCATACCTTTATTTCGCAGGGTCTAAGACTAACTTCAGAATTTGGGTCCCTAAATCTAGCAAGAAATCCATTTTTTATTGTTCGTTGTTCTCAATCATTAAATATTTCGTTGTTCGTTCCTTCTCTTTTCTTTCTTGTTATTAAGGTACGTATCCATATCTCCAATTTGGTTTCGAATTAATGTATCTACTTTTTTTCTCTTCTTCTTTTCTTTCTTGTTATTAAGGTACGTATCCATATCTCCAGTTTGGTTTCGAATTAATGTCTCTACTATTGCTCTCTTCTTCTTTTTTGACCTCCAAACACGTAGTTGGGAACCATGATATTTGACGCAAGTCACTCAATAGCTAATACTTACTAAATTATAAAATTAGAACAAGAATTACACCAATCAACTCTACTGAAGTTTCACAAAATGTTAATGAATTAAAATTAATGAAATGTAAGCAGTAACTTGAGTTTAGAAGATTATTTCATAGCAGTCAACAATACATACTAATAAATAAGCCTTCATTTGGTTCTCAATAAATTAAATTTCATTTTTCTCAATCCTATTTTCAGTTATTTTAATTTAAAAAATGGAGGTCAAATAGGGGCTAAATAAATCTAAAACTCATAAAGTGAAGCAAAAAACAGTTTTCCACAAGCTCAAATAAAATTCTATTTGTACATAATAAATCTTGGTAAATTAATCCAACAAAATTGAAAGTAGATGCATTATAGCCATAATTAAAGGCCTTTCACAAACACTTAAGGTGCTCATTAGCCTGCACATTTATAGAAGCGATCTTCAAGGGTTGATATGAGATTCCAATGTGGGATTCATAAAAGATGCTGAGTTGGTAAATAGATTTCCAACTATAAAAGTTAAATAAATTAAAAAAGCAGTAGCTCTACTTAAAAATAAAAAAAAGAAGGGAAAATAATGTCGGTGTAAATTATTTATCTTTTCAAATTATTTTTTTCATTTTCAACCAAATATATGGGATTTTTTTTTAAATACATCGGAACAATAAAATACTATAGAAGTATTAAACAATTCACTTTATGACAAAACAAAAATTAAAGGCTAATTAGCACAAAACGTCCCTACATTTGGAGGTTTTTGTGGATAACGTCCCTATCTTTCGTTTTTTGGTGGAGAACGTCCCTACCTTTACCATTTTTGCGCAGAACGTCCTTCTGTCAATTCCCCGTTAAAATATTCCGTTAAATCAAATAAAATGGATTTTTTTTTTTTTAAATGCAGGGGTAAGATCGTCCATCCAACATTTTCTTCACTATGTAATCTCTCCCACCTCTTTCTTCTTCAAATGTCGAAGAAAAAGTAAAGTGACATGAAAAAAAAAACTTGAACAATATTATTTCATTCAATAAATTAGGGAAAATGACGTGAGAATGACTACATTTTTGGTAGAAAATATTCATGATTGCTGTAATACTGGTTGTTCAAAACATTTTGGAATGCTATATGAAGAGAATGAATATGTGGTTAATAAAAATGAGATGTCCATCCTCATTTTGTGCTTACGAAGGGTGTAAATAAGAGGTGTATAATTTTGAACAGCTGGACAGAGATAGGCACTTTCTGATTATGTGACATTTTCTCTTCTCCAAACTGGATATCCATAAATGAGCACTCTTTAATTATTGTCAAGTACTCATTTTACTTAGTTTGGTTATTGAGCTTGGTTGTTGAGTGCTGATTTTACTGCATTTTGTTATTGAACTTGGATGTTGAGTATTGGTTTTGCTGTGTTCGAACTAGGTGTTACGGACATTCAATTGTAGGGATAAACAGAATTGTATTTGGCTGTAGTTTAGACAAGTCGTTTGGCTCAAAATACGTAGGGACGGTTTGCACAATTTTTAACAAAGGTAGGGATGTTTTGCGCAAATAGAATGTAAAGGTAGGGATGTTTTGTGCAGGGACATTGTAAGAGTAGGGATGTTTTTCGCAAAGACAATATCAAGGTAGGGATTGTTATCACCAATTCAATTTTATGCTAAAATGGGGGAGAAAACACGTTCATATTTCATCATCTTCTCCACTCCATCACATGTATTGTCCATTTACAAAATCATACTTTGATTGATCTTCTCACTTTACCTCTTATTTACACCCTTCGTAAGCACAAAATGAGGATAAATATCTCATTTTTATTAACCACATATTCATTCTTTTCATAAAGCATTCCAAAATGTTTTGAACAATCAGTATTACAGTAGTCATGAATATTTTCTACCAGAAATGCAGTCATTCTCACGTCATTTTCCCTAATTTATTGAATGAAATAATATTGTTCAAGTTTTTTTTTCATGTTACTCTACTTTTTCTTGAACATTTGAAGAAGAAAGAGGTGGGAGAGATTACACAGTGAAGAAAATGTTGGATGGACGATCTTACCCCTACATTTTAAAAAGAAAATATCCATTTTATTTGATTTAACGGAACATTTTAACGGGGAATTGACAGAAGGACGTTCCGCGCAAAAAATGGTAAAGGTAGGGACGTTCTCCACCAAAAAACGAAAGGTAGGGACGTTATCCACAAAAACCTCCAAAGGTAGGGACGTTTTGTGCTAATTAGCCAAAATTAAATGTACCCAAATGTAATCATTAATAGGTGTTTTTGTCTCTACATTAATTAATTTGAAAAATTAGCTTACTTTTGTCAGTTGTTATGATATATTGCATTATTTATTTATTTATTACAATCGGTTCGACCACGGTTCGACTTTTCAACTTTCGACTCTTTAACTTTTTCGAGTCAACAGTCTGGACGGTTTTTAAAACATCGGAAACAACCCAAGCTTTCTTCCCCTTTATTTATTTTATTTTTGAGTTATAGGATAGCTTAGTTTATAGTTTATTTAAGAAGGGTTGTGCTATTTGCACAGGGTCCTGTGCAAGGAGAAATATCCATTTAAAAACTATCATCCATATTCCGTTCCCTCTTAATTAATTAAGTTGGTTACTAGATGTTTGAACTAATAAACACTTGTTCCATATATTTAATTTTTTCAGGAATGTTACATTGCAAACTATTATGATTGATGCTAGAAATTTCAATACATATGTGCTTGTGAATCATTATATAAACTATTATGTATATTATTATGCTCAAGTTGAATCTCATTAAATTCACATTTTAATGAGATTTCTCATCATACAATAGTAGAAGAAACATTTAAAAAAATGACATTGTACTAGAAATTGTCAGAGCATTGACAATTCAAAGAATACGTTGAAAGTTGAAGTTCCAAAACTCCCCATTCTTCAAATGTAATTTACAAAAATGACCCTCCCAATTGGTAGATGGCACTACATTTAATGGAAGGACGACTTGGGAAATTGAAAATTAGTGCTTGCCATAAGACTTTCCGAAGTCAACAATCAATTATTTTAAGTCACGAAAACCGACAAACATCAATTTATTGGTTCCACAGTGGCAGCAAAATAATTAGCCCAATTTTACGATGATGGGGATTACATAAGTATATGACAAATGTACAATCGTTACTCCCAAAATTGTATATAATTGTC